CGTCATTACTTTTACTCTCTAAATTCTAATACAGCCTCAAGATATTTCAACCTTGCCTTCTCAATTTTGTGAATCGAACACATTCCTATATCATACATGTTGAATAGGCCATAATCAATGTTTATTTTTGAGTATGTTCATTTTTATGATAGTATATAATATTTTACATTAATGTTGCAATTACTGTATGTTAGTGAAAGAGCCAAACTGATGTATCTCCATTTTGTAGCATTCTTTATATTAATCTTGAACAAAGGTCACTCAGGTTTGTTCTAACATCAACTCCGGAAATTACCCTTAATCAAGCAAACAAATGGTCAATTTAGCGAATATCCATACTCACGGAAATGGTAGTTAAGATTGCTAGTTCAAAGCGTATATAAAGAGGACTAATAACAGGCACATACGGGTGAACGAAGAAATAACGAAATTTTCAGAATAATGGAAAAAAAGTATTATTAGTTGTGGTAAAATTGTGTTTCCCTTTATTCAATATAAGAAAATTCAGAAATTTCCCAAAATTATCGTCAACGATATTTGACCTGTTTATATATATATATATATATATATGTCAGTACTTACTGCTTATAAAAGACTTTCTTTTTGTGCCCTCATTTTACAGATTGGTCCAGCTTCGCCTCCGTGAGGCTCATCTGGCCGGCAATTGTCCTTGTCGAGAAGTCTCTCCTCGTTATCATGCCGCCTTTGTCGCGGGTGAAAGAATTTCTCAGCTTAGTCGAGAGACGGATGGTCTTTTAGAGACTTTAGGTCAACTCCGGCTTCAGATAAAGAGCTCTCAGTCATCGGAGGCACGATCAGGTGAGCACAGACTGACATCTTGAATGTACAAATCGGCTCATCATCCGTCTCCTAACTGATCCATTAAAATCGTTAATTTCACGAATTCACGATACCGAGTTCTTGCTAAGTAATTGAATGCAAAGGATCATATTCCACTGTAAAATGAATCACCAGACAATGTTCTTCACTTACACTTGTTGTTTGTCTCCTCGTAGCCTACCTCAACTTCCTTTCTTTCGAATGGCCTCCCAAGTTAAAGGTACGTATGGCTTGCGTGGAACTTACCTCTCTGACTAGTTGCCAACGTTAGGCACATTCTATTTGAGTTGAAAACCATTTTCCTTGTATATCTTCCACCATCCAAGTCATAAACCTAAGGTTTATGTTGTTTACGATTTCATATTACTAGTCTATATATGCACCTAACTCAGAGTAACAACTTCATGACTTAGGCTTTTCAACTTATTCACAAACTATCGACAGGCCATTTCTTCAAGCACAATTGTTTTCTGTGCAAGTGGCAGACTTATAAGCGATTCTTTCTCCATCCTGAAAACTCTGTCGACAGAAAGTCCTCGTTCCTATTTGGTATTTTTTCTGTTTAAGCGTCCCTGGCTTTAAAAAACCAAAATTGGACATTATATATATTTCAACTCTTATATTCCAGTGTTTGCTGATAGTGATGAATAAACAATTATATCTTTACTCA